TGATAGATTGAAGCTTGGGGGTAGATGGAGATGAACTTATATGAGCTTATATGAGTAGTATGTAGAGGAAAGAGTTTTTTTTAATTAAATTAGTTTTTGTTTTATTGTTTTCTTTTAATAATATTTATAAAAGTAAAAAGTTGAATTGTAATTAATTTTTATTATTATTGTGTTACGTTGTAACATTATAAACTATTATCATATGTTATAGGATCACATGAATAGTCTTGTGAGGGAGCGATGGAGCTGGGAGCGAGATTCGAATCTCGCTCCCCAGCTCCATCGCTCCAATGTTGGAATACGAAGGTCTATATAATCAAGATGGATTCCCTTTGTATAGAGCTTCGTACTCAAGATCAAGATCAATCATTTAGTATACTCTACTATTAGTTACGAATTGCATTATTGTCATTACTTAAGTCCCTGCTTGACGCCTAGTTATAAACCACCTCGAGAGCCTAGAGCACTTCCACGTGATCTAGACGGCAAACCTCGTAACAACTAGACCAATATTACCTCAGTTCTGCCCTATTGTGACCAAAAGGGTGTTTATAGACCAGCAATTGTATTTAACTTAGAATCTACAGGTGAAGAGCACCTGTAGATGGGGATAGCTACTCTATATATACACAAATGAATGGCCTAGCCGCAATGGCTAGGCAAAAAGAAGTCGTATTTATTCCTCCAATGATCTTACTTTACCGATAACCATTGATACCTAGTACTTGTCCGGATCTGATCCTCAGGTCACCTAAATCGCATACTAATCTCGAGTAATCGTATCATGTGTGGACATGGTTAATGTACCTGAGGTTTCTTATATAATAAGGGTGGGAGGAAAGCAGGGATTTCCGTCACACCTATCAGCTTCCCACTATTCCCTGTGTAAGGTCATTCCTTTTAACAATATATTATAATTATTATAAATTATAATAATTTTATTTATTAAATTGATATTGAAATTATTTTAATATAAATTCATTAATAATAAGAGATTTTGTAAATATTTTTGTTACGTCCAAAACGATTAGTATGTCACATGACCATAAAACATGTGATGGAACGGTGAGGAACGAACGTTCCTAGGAACAACCAGGAACGCTCGTTCCCAGGAACGACGATTCCTAGTTAACCATAGGCACGAAGGACTATATAATCAAGATGGATTTCTTTTGTATAGAGCTTCGTGCTCAAGATCAATCATTTAGTATACTCTACTATTAGTTACGAATTGCATATCATTATTGTCATTACTTCAAGTCCCTGCTTGACGCCTAGTTATAAACCTACTTCGAGAGCCTAGAGCACTTCCACGTGATCTAGACGGCAAACCTCGTAACAATTTTATTATCAAAAAATATTAATAAAGATATATTATTAAAAGAATTATTATAATATTTTCTATAATAATTAAAAATATTATTTTCTTCATATTATAATTTGATATGTTCTAAAAAAATAAGCAAGTTCTTATAATTTAATAAATACAAGAGTTGTATTGTTTTATTAGATCTATAAAATAAGAAAAGACTATAACTGCATTCCTTTTCAAACCGTCCTCCGTATAGCTCCTGGAATTGATGTTCACACTCGCTTATTTACTAATGCCACGCAATGTATCGAAGCTACGGCCGAGCTTCAACATTGTCCCTATATCAAAACACAATAAACCAAACTCTCACAAATCATAACACATCTACGAATGGTACGAGACGATCAAAAAAGTGATGCGATTTCAATAATATAGGATATGTCAGGAAGAGGATATGGAGGTCTCGGAGGGGACCCTTACATGAATGGCAATTCTACTGGATATGCGAATGGGAATGGGAATGGATATGGAAATGGTAGGAATGCAAACGCAAATGGATTTCCAGGACAAATAACTGAAGATGGAGATTATGATCCATATAATACAGGAACTGATAGATACGCTACTCCATCTCCTCGACAAGAAGGTTTTCGAACACCATCGCCTTCTATGCCGCGAAGTCCTCTATCCCTAGGTTTTCCACGAATGAGAGAACCGACGGCTAAACCAAAATTAGAAGAAACCAATGCGGAGAAACAAATTGGCGAGGTGTTGGAACATATCAAGAAGGAATGGCCTGCGTTGTGTGAAAGTGGATGTGTGCCAGTACAATTGGCATTACAGCTTTTAGACACGAGTTCGGTCGGCAAGGCACATGAATATGCGCAGTTTGAACAATCGATGCAATATCTACAAGATTCTTTGAAAAATATCGTACATGAACATCATCAAGGATTCAACAGTTCGATTGGTACATTTCATAAAATTCAAACGAGTATTCAGACGTCGCAAAAGAGGGTACGAACATTGAAGGATTCGCTCGCGCAATCGAAAGCTAATCTTTCGACGACGGATCCAGAGTTGAAGAAATTGGGTGCGGCGTCAACGATTTATGATGAATTGTTACATACACTTTCTGAGGTGGAGGAGTTACGGCTGGTTCCGGATCAATTGGAAGCACGGATTTCTGAGAAGAGATTCTTGACGGCCGTGGATGTTTTGCAGGATGCTCTGCGTAGGATTCGATCCCCCGAGTTGGATGACATTGGGGCTTTGAGTGAACTAAGGACGTATCTTGCAAATCAGGAAACGGCCTTGACGGATATATTGATTGAGGAACTTCATGATCATTTGTATCTCAAGTCACCTTATTGCCAGGAAAGATGGCAGATGTTGGCGAAGACTCAAGGTGGTGCTGCGAAGGAGAAATTCGAGAATCCAAATGGTGTGAGGTCATTTTTTGAGGTGCTTGACAGCATGGATTTGGCTGAGCCGATGGTGGAAGATGCGTCCACCGGTCCGGAAGCAGACACTTCTATTAT